GCTCTAACTCAAAATCTGGTCTATATTGGGTTCCCCAACCCTCTCAGTTTCCACAGACTGGCTAGAGTCCTCTGAGGCGTGGCTGTGAGCCCCAGGTCCTAGGCATAGGAGGCTCTGCCACAGGGAACCACTCAGGGCAGATTTCCTGTTAGGTTCTTGGCTACTTCTGGGTCCTGTTTGTGTCATTCGAATATCAAGGTCACCCCAGGAAAGCTAAAAAGTAGCCTCTCTGTCTAACATGGCTGTACCTTGCTATACTTGCCAGTTAGCCCAAGTCTTAATCAGGATATTCTGTCCTGACTGTCACTGAGGACTTCAGGCTAAATGGGAATCAGGAGAGAAATACCCCTTTCTGTAGGCTCCCTTGAATTTATTGAACACACACATGGTAATACTGGTCCACACGTAGACGAGGTTTAACGTGTACTTTGCATGATTTAATTCTCACAACACCCCTAGGAGGAAGATGTACAATTATCATTCACATTTAGTAAGTGAAGAAACTGAGGCACAAAGAGGTTGAACGCCTTCCAAAGCCTTCCTCAGGATCACACAGCTCTATGGCAGAGGCTGGAGTGGGGCCGCAGCTTGGCGGCTCTCCCCTCTCTGCTGAACCGTGGGGCCTCCTCCCTTTATTCCTCTGTGCTTCTCTTCCCTGCCGCCTGGCCTGAAAAAGGTGAGTGTTCTTTATTTCCCCCATGCCTGCTCTTCTACCACAAAGCTGGGCTATTTACCATATAAAGACTGGATTGGGTTCAGTTCCTTTTGAACCTTTTCTTCTGCATATCCAGAGAGAGAGACTGCATTGATGCCAGCTGCTGGGCAAATGTTTCACTTCTTCCACTGTCCACTTCAGAAGAACTCTGGGGACTGCCAAGACTGGCTGGTGGCAGTCATCCAACTCCTATATGGAGATCTATCCAGAATGTGTCCTCAAGAGCCTTGCTCAGCTATCAGCTCCACCTCGGCAGCTAATCATATTCCTGTGGACACACGTGGCCAGACTGCTTCCTCCGGCAGCAGCAAGGAATTTGGCCAGGACTAGCCTCTCACCCTCTCCCACCTGGGCACCCTGAGTATCAGCAGGCTGCTGGCTGTGGTGGCTTCAGAAGGGAGGTACATCCTTCTGTCTTCATCTTGTACCCCAAGTGGCCTCAGACAAACAGGATCAGAGTTGACAGTGTTCCCTATCAAGGCCACACGCTTTTCAAATGCCTTATACGTGAGCCATGTGCACCTGCAGAACCCAGGGTTTTGCTCAGATTTCTGGGTCCCCTATCAAAACCTTTAAATAGACAGTTTAAGCCTTGTGAGGTGTGATTCTATTGCTCAATTTGCAGTAGCTTTATGTGCAAAGACTAGCTTTGTAAGGCATTACAAACTTATAAAATGTGAATGGAATCTATGGTAGGCAGGTCTCTCCATAAAGGACCATGTTCTAAACTACTTCATAGATTTCTTTTTTTCAGTCATTTAACAAATATTTTAAAGTAGAATCTCTTCTTCCTCTTCATTTCCAGATAATACTACTCGTGATTCCTTTCAAATCCCATAGCAATGGTTCTCAACCTGGTATACCAGGATTCTTTTTTTGAGATGGAGTCTTGCTCTGATGCCAGACTGGAGTCCAGTGGTGCAATCTTCTCACTGCAACCTCTGCCTCCCAGATTCAAGCAATTCTCCTGCCTCAGCCTCCTGAGTAGCTGGGATTACAGGCATGTGCCACCACGCCTGGCTATTTTTTGTATTTTTAGTAGAGATGGGGTTTCACCATGTTAGTCAGGCTTGTCTCAAACTCCTGACTTTGTGATCCTCCCAAAGTGCTGGGATTACAGGCATGAGCCACTGTGCCCAGCCTATATTAGGATTCTTATGTGTCCTGAAGGGCACTAAGGGAAGTCTTTAATATAGTTTCAGTATTTCTTACAGAAAATAGACTTTTATGATAAGGTTGTACTTATGAGTTAAAAACATTTCTTTGCCTTTGAGTGAAATAATAAATGACCCAAGTGGCATCCATGCAGATCTGATGACCACTCTTTCACTGAAATATATGAAAGTGTAAATAATTCATAACATGATAAAAGGACTTTGGAAGATGGACACTTTTGCTCTGTGGTGTTCATCTGGGGAAATGACACCCACTCATGAGATGACAGGGTCCTGCTGCTGCTGCCTTGTCACCACGGTCATGTCTACTCACCCTTTGGCAGGTCACAGTATCATTGTCACTGTAAAAACTGTCTTTTGTGCTTATTACACAAACTTCTGATTAGAGCGGATGTCAACACATAGTGGCTGAAAAGTCCATCTTTTGGTTCAAGCATGCCCCAGCGTTCAGTGGCCCCTGAAGCCCTAGATCATTCTGGGTTTCACTAACTAGACAATAAAAATTGTCGGGTGAGGCACAGTGGCTCATGCCTGTAATCCCAGCACTTTGAGAGGCTGAGGCGGGAGGATCACTTGAGATCAGGGGTTCAAAACCAGCCTGGCCAACATGGTGAAACCCTGTCTTTACTGAAAATACAAAAGTTAGCCGGGTGTGGTGTCTGTAATCCCAGCTGCTTGGGAGGCTGAGACAAGAGAATTGCTTGAACCCCCAGTGGTGGAGGTTGCCCTGAGTCAATACTGTGCCAGTGTACTCCAGCCTGGGCAACAGAATGAGACTTCGTCTCAAAAAAAACATTGTCATCTTTCTTTTTTTTTTTTTTTTTTTTTTTTGAGACGGAGTTTCGCTCTTGTTACCCAGGCTGGAGTGCAATGGCGTGATCTCGGCTCACCACAACCTCCGCCTCCTGGGTTCAGGCAATTCTCCTGCCTCAGCCTCCTGAGTAGCTGGGATTACAGGCATGCGCCACCATGCCCAGCTAATTTTTTGTATTTTTAGTAGAGACGGGGTTTCACCATGTTGACCAGGATGGTCTCGATCTCTTGACCTCGTGATCCACCCGCCTCGGCCTCCCAAAGTGCTGGAATTACAGGCTTGAGCCACTGCGCCCGGCCGTCATCTTTCTTTATCACAAACTGGAGCTGTTGCAGTTGGTAATCCATGCTCAGCGGATTCATTGAGCCCTTTCTTCTAGAACACCCTCATTGTAAAAAACAAACAAACAACAACAACAACAAAAAAAAAAAACAAAACAAAACTGGGGACCCTTATAGTGGAGCTGTGGCTCCAGGGGGCCATCTGGCATGTCCTCAGGAGGAAAAATGCCCCTACACCTGCAGTGACAGCGCCCTCTGCTGCTCCTGTCTCTCTGCAGAAATGGGATGGGAGAATGCAGGCCTCTTAGTGTCAAGTTTTTCACTCAGTAATTAGAGCCTCAGTTCACTGGAGAGCTTCAACAAACATATTTTGAGTGTTGCTTTTCTGCTGTATATGTGGGCAATACAGAAAGGAAGGTCATTATGAATGCCCTCACAAAGCTCACAGTCTGATGGAAAACCAGACCTGTACCACCTAGCTAGCTACTAGAGGATGCGTGGAATCCTGTGTGTGCTTGGAAGAAGGTGTTACAAAGCAGGTTAGAGACAGTACAACGTTCTGGGAGGGAAGGGTGGTGGCAGAAAGCTTCAGGGAAGAGGTGACATTTGAATTGGCTCACTGAAGGGTAACGATTTTATGGGGGCAAAAGCAGTTGGGGATTCTGGCTTTACTTTGAAAGCACTTAAGAGGTAGAGGAGAGGCCGAGCATGGTGGCTCATGCCTGTAATTCTAGCACTTTGGGAGGCTGAGGTGGGTGGATCACCTGAAGTTTAGGGTTAGGGTTAGGGGTTTAAGACCAGCCAGTCCAACATGGTGAAACCCATCTCTATGAAAAAAAAAAAAAAATTACAAAAATTAGTCTGGCATGATGGTGGGTGCCTATAGTCCTGGCCACCTGGGAGGCTGAGGCAGGAGAATCACTTGAACCAGGGTGGCAGAGGCTGCAGTGAGCCTAGATTGTGCCACTGCACTCCAGCAGGGGCAACAGAGTGAGACTGTTTCAAACAAAACAAAACAAAACAAAAAAACAGGTGGAGGAGATAAGCTTCCCAAATGTCCTTTTGATTAATCATTCCACGTTGTTGATGGCTTCTTTTCCCAAGCTTGCAGATTTCTTAAACATTCCTTCCAGTGGTTTCACCTGTCTCAGATAATCTCCTTGTTGAATGCAGTGGTTCTCAGGAAAGTTTGGCCCACCTGCCCACAACATCAGAATCTTTTTTTATTTTTTTTTTTGAGACAGAGTCTCCTCTGTTGCCCAGGCGGGAGTGCAGTGGTGCCATTTCGGCTCACTGCAACCTCTGCCTCCCGTGTTCGGTTCAAGCGATTCTCCTGCCTCAGCCTTCCGAGTAGCTGGGACTACAGGTGCACGCCACCATGCCCAGCTAATTTTTTGCATTTTTAGTAGAGACGGAGTTTCATCGTGTTAGCCAGCATGATCTCAATCTCCCGACCTTGTGATCTGCCTGCCTCCGCCTCTCAAAGTACTGGGGATTACAGGTGTGAGCCACTGATGAATGTGTCTAGTAGCTCAATGTTGGCGTCCAGCCCAACATCAGAATCTTCTAGGAACTGGGTAGAAATGCAAATTCTTGGGCCCCAACCTAACTGCTGAATCTGAAGCTCTTGGAATTTCCTCTGACATAAATTCGAGGTTGACAGCCACAGTTCTAACACACAGACCTTGGGAGCTGATACAGAGGCTGAGAACGATCTAGGTTACTTTCCATGTTCCATCTTGGCGAGACCTGGCTGAGGTTACTGCCCTGACCTTCCCGTCCACGACTCGGACGTGTGAAGCAGCCACCCGGGCGGGCTGGTGGCGTGGTCCTCTTCGGCAGATTTTTGGGCAGGGTCGTGCCTGCTTGAGGGCAGAGGCGCTGGTCACAGGGCCCTGAAGCAGACTCATATTTTCCCCCTCAAAGCGGATAGAGCTTAGCAAAGCCATGGCAGCTGGCTTTGGGGTACTGGGAGCCTCCTTAGTCACTCTGAGCGACGCAGCCCTCCTGGGGTTATTCCGAGCGCCCGGGAGAGTGGCCACTCCCGCCCCGGAGGGGGAAGGGTGGTCTGTTTCCAAGTCCGGCTTGGTCAGGTGACAGCGGCGCGGCAAACTCAGCAGCAATAAAACGGAAGAGCAGCGCTCGTGAGGCCGCGCCAGCCTGCAAAGAAGACAGCCGGCCCGCGCGGGGACATGCGGCCCCGGGAGCTCCCCGGGCTCGCGCTCCCGCTGCTGCTGCTGCCGCCGCTGCTGCCGCCTTGCCCTGCCCGCAGCGCTGCGCGCTTCGACCCCACCTGGGAGTCCCTGGACTCCCGCCAGCTGCCCGCGTGGTTCGACCAGGCCAAGTTCGGCATCTTCATCCACTGGGGCGTGTTTTCCGTGCCCAGCTTCGGTAGCGAGTGGTTCTGGTGAGTGCGCTCCCTTCCGTCTCCTCTGCGGCGCTCCTGTCCCCACCCGCAGGCTGCAGCCACTACCCAGCGGGCCTCGTTCGCAGCCTGGTGCTGCCTGCACCCTCGTCGGTTTCACTTCCCACTGCGTTACCGGCGTTTCGCACTTCCGGGTCTCGAATGTGGCGTTTCTTGCCTAAGTGGTTCGTGCTGAGTGAACAGGGAATTTTTCTTCCGTGTAACTGCAAGAGTTTTCAGACACGCCTGACTCCTCAGCTTCTTCACAGTTGCGCATATGAAGCTGTAGTTATGACACTACAACATCGAGCTACTAGACACACTCATCGGTTTGTGCAGGGCATCGCAGGAGCGCGGACTTAGACACAATGGCTCTGGTGCTCTACCAGTTTGCAGCCATTCTGCAGTGAACTTATGATTAAAACACAGTCATGAGTATGTGAAACGACTGTTCATTTGAACACCATTGGCTATTTAACGTTAACATGTTACCTATGTATGGCTCCAGGAACTTTTAAAAGAAGTTCTAGAATGGTACTCTTAACACAACCCAGTTATACTGCCGTATGAAAGGTGCTGCACAAAAATCTGTGCTTTAGATTCTACTTTGAGATCTATGTGAAAATGTGCATATAATTTCTTAAACTGTTGCACATGTCTTTTCTGGCTAAATGCTACAAGTATTAAGTTATTTAAAATAGAAACATTTTGTGTGCCTATATAGATACATGCACATAATATGTTCTTTTATTTTATATATTTATTTAGAGACAGAATCTGACTCTGTCGCCCAGGTTGGAGTGCAGTGGGGTGGTCTTGGCTCACTGCAACCTTCGCCTGCTGGGCTCCAGCGATTCTCGTGCCTCAGCCTGTGGAGTAGCTGTGACTACAGGTATGCACCACCGTGCAGGCTATTTCTTTTGTATTTTTTAGTAGAGACGAGGATGTGCCATGTTGGCCAGGCTGGTCTCGAACTCCTGACCTCAGGTGATCAGCGGTGGCTCATGCCTGTAATCCCAGCACTTTGGGACACGTAATATATTCTTAAGTAAAATAAAGGAATCATTAAACAATAAGTATTTATTTGAATCAACTACATACTACATAAATAGTATAAATCCAAATTAACATACTATGTTTAATAGACACAATACAGAGTATGAGCTATATGTTATATTAACATTACATAGTATACACTGTACCATGCTTACTGTAGGGGTAGAAAAATTACACTGCCATTCTGTTAGGGTCTCTGCTGGGTCCAAGAATTAAATTGACATTGGGGTGATTAAATTATACGGGGAGGCTTAAAACATACGAGTTATTTGAACAAGGTCTGTATAGTATTCTATTTCTTGTCTTTGAAGCTTAGGATGTTGCCTTTTCTTCTAGTATAGAATATCTTTCACACTGGAATTTCATCTTCTGCTCTTAAGAAAGAGCACAAAGGTCAAAATACTCTTCATGTTTCTGCTACTTTTCAAGTTTCTTTACCTTTAATAATATGCCACAGTAGCATATTTTAGCCCTTTTATTACAAAGAGATTGACTACCTGCAACCAGTAACCTTTCTCATTAGTAGGCCAGTTGATGTACAAAATAAAACTGGGTAAGCTATGGAGAATTATTCATATACTTTAAATAATTCAGCTTGTAAAACAGAGACTCTTCTTATACCAAAACACAGCTACTTCAAAAAGATGTTACAAATATTTATTTGCATGTTTTGGGCTGTAAGGAAGCCCTGAGTTTATTTTGGAAATGTTTTACATTAGTGTGGCACATAATTAGCACATTTTCTTCCCCCTAAATTGTATCTTATATTATCATTTTGTTCAATCATGAAGATTAGGTTAAGATATATTGGTACCAGAAGAGGATTTGACATTTGTTAAAACTAGTACTATGCCAAAATAAAACAGCTACTTTCGAGTCATTTTATTCTTTGCTATGAATAACTTCATTTTCTACAAATAAACCCACGGTTGTTTGTTTGGACCTAGAACAATAAAGATACTTCTCATACTAAACAAAATAGAGAACACATTTCTGAAGATCTGGAAATGCATTTAACCCTGTGGAAGATTTTTACATTATCTATGATTTCCCTTTGTATCCTCTGCTCCTTACTCTTAATTTGACTTTTGGGCAATCAACTGTACAGATGAATATAAATGGCTATTTAAAACCAAATATAAATGATGGACTTTCTGCCATAAATTCCTCTTTTCATCTCTCAGCATGAAATTTGAGTCTAGACTGTAGGGGAGAATGCACATTCAAATTAGATGATGCTAGGAGAAATTCCCTCCTTTTTTCAACTTTCTGAATATCCAGTTTCTCTTTTGCAGTTCAATTCAAAAGGTAATGCCTATAGTCCCAGCTACTTAGGAGGGTGAGGTGGGAGGATCACTTGAGCCCAGGAGTTCAAGACTGTGGTGAGGTATGATCATGCCACTGCATTCCAACGTGGGTGATAGAGCAAGACCCTGTCTCAACCAATCAATTAATCAATAATAAATAAATAATAAAAAATGCTTCAAGGATCTGTTAGGATGCTTTCACTTTAAGGTATCAAAAACCCAAGTAAAAGGTATAATGATAGGGGGTTATTATCTCACATAACAAGAAATTTAGAGGTAGTTGGTTCATTGATGAAATAAAAGACGTAGGCTTTTTCTGTCATCCTTAGTCTGGGGACTTGTCCCTTCATGGTCACATGATGGCAACCAGGCATCATAGCTTCACACAACCTTGCACAAATGCAGGAGGACCAGTGTCTCTTTTCATTAAGAGGGAAACCATGTCCAGAATTCTCAGTCTGCTTTCCCTCAAGTTCCCTTGGCCATGATGGATCTTGCATCCCTGTTTTAGCTGTAGTGGAAACTGGGAAATTAGGTAAATATGACTTTTGGGTAGGCAAACAACATGCCTGCCACATAGTATGCCCTTCAATTATGTCTTCTTAGCAGAAAGAGTCTCCTGATCGTCTTATGAAATGTAGTGCTGATTATGGATTTACTTATCCTGTAGAAATACTCTTATGAAAGGAATGGTGATAGAAAAAGTAGGAGGTGGTTCAGAAATGGGGGTTGCACCTATTTCATGAGGATGGTTATTCTGTGTTTAAAATGTTTAGATGTGCTTTTCCTCATGAAGTCTTGCTTACACAGTTTAGGATCAATATACCAATGTTTAGAATGAACGCATAGAGCAAGTAATCCTTGAAGGTTGAGTCCATTAATTAAAATAACGGCATCGTCTTAATTTTATTGTTGCTTCCCGTTCTGTGCTGTGCCTCCAAATTGTTCTCTACTAGTGAATATAATACATGCATGTTATGTTTTAGGCATGTAGTCTTCCTTTCAGAAGCCCTAGTCACTTACGTTACAAAGGACAATGCATAATAACATATAGTATACGTTGTGATTTAAAGGTGAAGAATTAAAAGAGAATGGGGCTGGGCATGGTGACTCATGCTGTAATCCTAAGACTTCGGGAGGCTGAGGCAGGAGGGTTGCTTGAGCCCAGGAGGTTAAGACCAGCCTGGGCAACACATGGAAACCACATTTCCACAAAGAAAAAAAAAAAGCCAGGTGTGGTGACACACACCTGTAGTTCCAGCTACTCAGGAGGCTGAGGCGAGAGGATCCCTTGAGCCCAGGAGGTCAAGGTTGCAGTGAGCCATGATTGCACTACTGCACTCCAACCTGAGTGACAGAGTGAGACCTTGTCTTAAAAAAGAGAGAGAGAATGGGTAGCTGAGTTGCCTAGAATGCTCTAATTTATGAGCCAAGTGGTTCTCACAGGGGGATAGATAGAGAGGGGGCTTTAGTTTGCATGAGCTTTCTTTAAAGCCAAGTCAAACCAATGGGGAAGTGAGAAAGAGAATATGGGTCCTACTGTATCTGAGTGAGGGGTAAATGGTAAATGGAGCTGGAGCAGTTCTTTTAAATGTGTGTATGTGTTGTTTATATACACTTTCCTTTCCTCCCCTTAGGTGGTATTGGCAAAAGGAAAAGATACCAAAGTATGTGGAATTCATGAAAGATAATTACCCTCCTAATTTCAAATATGAAGATTTTGGACCACTATTTACAGCAAATTTTTTTAATGCCAACAAGTGGGCAGATATTTTTCAGGCCTCTGGTGCCAAATACATTGTGTTAACTTCAAAACATCATGAAGGTAAGTCAATCCAGCGTATGCAAATTGCTGACAATTGTTAAGAAATGAAAAGTTATTTTGGAAGAAAAAAGTAAAGCAAGGTCTAATTTTCTCTTAGGAGCAACCATAAGTGGTGACTGACACTTGCTTATAACTTAGGGACTGCACATTCAGCCAAATTGAGAGATCTTATGAATACAGAAAGACTCAAACCCTCCACATAACAGAGGAAAGATGGTCACATTTTGTTACATGTATATTGAACAATATTTCCAAGATTTCCTTAAAGCTGCTTGCTGAAGGGAGTGTGAGTTGTAAGTCAAAATTCATCATTGGAATTGCACTCTTTCATTCCCTTTCTCTGTAATGCATCCTGTGAATGCATCACGGAGGTTATACTGCTACAGTCTTGCATCATTACAATGCACCTGGCTGCCCTTTTAGCCAACTCTTAGCCAAATGGTGCAAATAGTGGATGAATTGATAGTGATGAAAGTGACCAAGATCACTCAGAAGGAAAAGGATTATGGAACTGTAATGGTTCCCAGAAAAATCAGAGGTGGTAGAAGAATACCTAAAAAATCCCACAGTAGTCCTATTTTAATAGAATAGATTCTACCCATTACCAGTTCAATATTTGTAAGGCCAAGGAAGCATTAACAAATTGTTTTTGTTGCAACTGCTTGTTAATTCATCAGTATCTTTTGCATGATCATTTTTGCCTTGGTATAAAAAAAAATTTGCACTGGATGTGGTCGCTCATCCCTGTAATCCCAAAACTTTGGGAGGTCAAGGAAGGAGGATTATTTGAGCCTAGGAGTTCGAGATCAGCCTGGGCAATATACTGAGACCTTATTTCTACAAAACAAAACAAAACCCCTAAAAAATTAGCCTGGTGGCATGTCTCCGGAGTCCCAGCTACTTGGGAGGCACAGGTGGGAGGACTGCTTGAGCCTGGGTGATTGAGGCTGCAATGAGTGGAGACAGGGCCACTACACTCTAGTTTAGGCAGCAGAGGGAGATCTTGTCTCAAAAAAAAAGAAAAGAAAAGAAATTTTGCTGTATCGTTTTCTTCAGGGATGGGATGGGAATAGGAGAGGAGAACCGAAGCAAAAAATCTGGAATTATCAGAGGATAGTTTTCCCTTTGGCCACATTCTGGTAGCTTCCTGATTTTCTCCTTTAGATGTTTCTCCTGCTGAGACGGATATCTATAAAGTGTATTTGCTTGAGAACATGCTGATTTCCTGATGTCTAGGAACTTTCCTGAGCTATATGACACAATGTATTACATAGTGAGTTTATTTAATAAAAATTCATAATCAAACTGTGAGGACAGATGATGTAGCCCACACTTATACATTTTCTAGGACCCATGTTGTCAGATGTTTTCATTGCTTATGGAAAATGCATGCTAAGCTCAGGAAGGATGATCGCTGTGTGAGCTTCTGGTGGTGATATTAAAATGAAGACCCATGTGGTTTTAGTACTGTCTTGACATTAGGGCCTGTCAAGTTGAAAAATTTTGAATATGACTTTAGATATTGACACTGCTCTGAAGCTTACCATAGACATGATAGGAACAAGAGTGTGCTATTTTAAAAAGCTTATTAGAATGAATGTAAGGCCAGGTCCGGTGGCTCACTTCTATAATCCCAACACTTTGGGAAGCTGAGGAAGGAGGATTGCCTGAGGCCAGGAGTTTGAGACCAGCCTAGGCAGCAAAGTGAGAAAAAATAAACTGTCTCTGAAAAAATAAACAAAATTAGCTGGCCGTCGTGGAACACACCTGTAGTCCTAGCTACTTGGGAGGCTGAGGTGGGAGGAACACTTGAGCCCAGGAGGGCGCAGATACAGTGAGCCAAGGTCGCACCACTGAACTCCAGCCCAGGTGACAGAGCCAGAACCTGTCTCAAAAAAAAAAAAAAAAAAAAAATCAAAAGTGTGAGTCAATCTTAAACTTGTTCTAATTTACCCAGAGTAAAGTGTTTCACCAAATGTATCATAAATGTCTATTCTGAAAGATTCTTTTAGATTTTAGTGGAATAGTAACAATTTACTTACGTCTCTAGGCACTAATGAAATTTTTGAGGCTTTCATATTTATTATGTTTTAAGCATTTCAGTTTATCTATCTCTTCTAACATTTTATGCAGAACAACCAGCAATCTAAATGCAAATTCCTGTTAAAAATGAACCACTTCTAAGTGTTGCATAAAGGTATACATGATTTTTTGTATCTACGTAGTTGGTAGACTATTCGCTTTTGGGTAATTTTATTAAAGAGGAACCTCCAAGCTTATGACTTTATAGTAGAATGAGATTACATGTGGTGAGTATATTTTAAAGTATAGAACCATTGGGAAATAGTGGGTTTTTTGCCCCTCTGCTTACATGAATAATCAAGCTAAAAGAGATTTGCTGTACATGGATCATCAGTGTTCTAAGAATTACACTATAATAAAATAAACAACCCTAAAACTAAGCAGTAGACTTCAAGCTTTGGTTTAGAAGACACTAAGAATCTTGCAGGAGTGCATCTCAGGATCTTCGTAATACACAGTAGTAGTCATCATTCAGCGTGGTACACATATATGTTCCCATCTTAGTTGTGAGCTGCTATTGTTGATTGATTATTTTGTGCTATACCTGGTGCTAGCAGTTGGCTAAAGACAGAGCAGGGAGCACTTCAGACATGATGCTATCCCTCAAGGACTTTAAGAGGGAAAATACTGGAGATCGATCAGACCATATGACCATCTAACTTTTGGGGTACAATGAGGTACCCTGAAAGTTGCTTTTAAAAGCCTTGATCTTATTTAAATTCTCATTTCTCACATAAAAGCACCATATATGCCATGAAAAGGTTGCCATAAACCAGTCATTTGTAGGAGCAGGTATTTATATATCACATGTACTATGTGACTTGTTTTGGCATTTGTGTGGGTTGAAATTTACTAAAATGAAGTTGGCATGCTTACAAGGGCTTTCACTATAATTTTCTAGGCTTTACCTTGTGGGGTTCAGAGTATTCGTGGAACTGGAATGCCATAGATGAGGGGCCCAAGAGGGACATTGTCAAGGAACTTGCGGTAGCCATTAGGAACAGAACTGACCTGCGTTTTGGACTGTACTATTCCCTTTTTGAATGGTTTCATCCGCTCTTCCTTGAGGATGAATCCAGTTCATTCCATACGCGGCAATTTCCAGTTTCTAAGACATTGCCAGAGCTCTATGAGTTAGTGAACACCTATCAGCCTGAGATACTGTGGTCGGATGGTGACGGAGGAGCACCGGATCAATACTGGAACAGCACAGGCTTCTTGGCCTGGCTATATAATGAAAGGTACGTATGCTATGAGATCGCTGCCATTACTCTCCACATTCCTATATATTTCCAATACTTTAATACCTTTGCTTCTTAAAATATTTTCTTTTAAGTCATTGGTGGTATGGTGGGAGAAAATCATTGTAAATAATACTTAATAGCTATATTACTATTTACTCAACATAATCAAGAGTAAATAAATCCGGAGTAAAATCGAACTCAATGGTCTGACTTTGAGATCAGACTAAAAATCACAGGACCAAGAACTGCGAAGGTGTTAATGTTGTGGATCGCCCCCTTTTCTCTCCTACTCTGGTCCTTGATGGCTTCTCTTCTGGGACAACTCTGTTTATTCATCCCTGTTTCTGATAGTGTGCTTCTGAATCCCTCTGACTGCTTCTTTTTATCCTCTTACCTTTTGGTCATCTTCGCTGCCCAGTCAGCGTCACCCTTGTCTGTCTCCTCTTTTCCTTCATCGGCAGCATTTTCACTTTCTCCAGTTTTTTCCTATTGCTTGCGGGTATGTTCAAGGCTGCCCTATTAGAACAGGGAGTTCTGATTAAACTCCTCCATTAGGCTTAAACTATATGGACCAAATTTGCATGTACACTAGAAAGCACTGGGTATTGTGCTATGAAGTCAAGAAGCCTTCTGCTTGCACTTCCTGGGCCCACACAGGATACAGATACAAGTATTCTGAAGAACCCTTGATACTTAAAACAGCAATGTGTCCAGGTACTCCTTCCAAGGGAAAAGACTGGGAGCCATCACTTCAATTTGTGGCTCAAAACTGTCCTCTCCATGTGGCATGGATTTCCCTTTAACTATACCACCTGCTATGATAAATAATTTTGTGGGGATATTTCACATAACATCAACAAATTTTCTGAGGTTTTTCAATATTAGGCACAATTGTAAGAGAAAGAGAAAGTCTAGACTACATGTATGAGATCATTGAATCATTGGAAAGAAAAGTGTCTTGGGTATAAATTCAGTTTTGGCTATCATTTACAATATGGAAGGGAGATTAAAATAATCATAAAATAATCTTATGAGTGCCATATGTGCTGGGTGCTAGGCTAAATGTTTTACATAACTTATTTTTGTTCTAATCATAGATGAGGAAATTCATTATTCAGAGGAGCCAGGTAACTTGCTCTAGGTCTGGGAGCTAGAAAGTGACAAAGCCAGGACTCCAATTAACCCAGTTCTGTTTGACTTCAAAACTGTGGGCTTTTCATTGTACTATGCCATGGTCCCTTGTTAGAAATGTATTTTAATTAGATATCTTTTCTAAAATTAGATATCTTTTCTAAATTAGATATCTTTTCTAAAGTATTAAGAAGCAAAGATATTAAAGGGCACACCCCTTTCTTTTTGTATAAAAAGCTTATGCCCTTTGTTTTAAAAAAATTTTATGTTTTATTTCAGCCCAGTTCGCGGCACAGTAGTCACCAATGATCGTTGGGGAGCTGGTAGCATCTGTAAGCATGGTGGCTTCTATACCTGCACTGATCGCTATAACCCAGGACATCTTTTGCCACATAAGTGGGAAAACTGCATGACAATAGACAAGCTGTCCTGGGGCTACAGAAGGGATGCTAGAATCTCTGACTATCTTACAATTGAAGAATTGGTGAAGGTACAGTAAAATGTCTGGTGGCTATTAATGTAATATTCTTAATAATGTTGTCATGTAGGAATTATTTCTTATAATTTGTATAGCTCAATGGCCTATCAATGTAGGACACTGTTCTATCCTGCATTTGTTCGTCTAGGCAGTGACTAAATATACATGTATAAGTATATAAAAGCAACATATTAACACATTAAAGATACAATTATTTTATTTATCTAAAAACGTTTATTCTTAATTTTTTAGCAACTAGTAGAAACGGTTTCATGTGGAGGAAATCTTTTGATGAATATTGGGCCCACACTAGATGGCACCATTTCTGTAGTTTTTGAGGAGCGACTGAGGCAAATGGGGTCCTGGCTAAGAGTCAACGGAGAAGCTATTTATGAAACACATACCTGGCGATCCCAGAATGACACTGTCACCCCAGATGTATGGTAAGGCATTCTTGTTACCAAGTCTCTTTTATAAAGGGAGAGATTTAAAATTTATCAGACATACAAACAAGAGAGGATAAAAAGAAAAATTGGATTAATTCCTATGTATATAAAGCACTTTCCAAACTTTGCTTACTCTAATATAAAGAGAAGGGGAAGAACTAGCATGTTTTTGAACATTTATTGTTTACCAAATTGAGCTTACATCATCTCTATGTATCTCCCAGTGGTGGACAAATTTTGGCTGAAAGTAGTCAGCTCTTAGAAAAATTATAAGCCATTTAGACCAATAAAAAATGCTGAATGGTTAGTCTAAAACAAAGACTACTATTTTATTAGTTCTGTAAATTCTGACTTTTACTGATGTTGCATCCCATGAAATTCGCAAACAAGAGGTACCCAATGGCAGATAACATGTTAGGTTAAAAATGAGTCAAAATAGGGAGGATTCTGGGAAGATGCTTCTCTCTGAGATTGAAAAGGTTCTGTGTGTCAATGAGTATCTGAGTCAGACACAAGTATGACAGTTTCTGATATGGTTTCTTAACATATATAAAATAAGAGTAGTATTGGCGAAGTTCTAAAAATTCACCTTTGGTTGGCCCCTAATTACTGCCTGATTAAATAGAAATGAAAAGATTAGACTAAATGTTCTTTAATCTACTTGACTTATGACTTAAAAGATTATCAACCCATTGAACAAAATGAAGTAGGGCAATCTGGACAGAGAAAATAATTGTGGAATTTTAAAATGTTGATCTGGGAGAAGCCATAATGAGAACTCAATATCAATCTCTCATGTGATAGAGGATAGTGCAAATCTGGTTTTGGAATTTGCTTCTGTACTTATATTTGAATATGAGGGTATCTGATCTGGGAATTCACAGTCATTAACCATTATTCTATTGTGTTTATTTCAATAAATAAACATAAAAACTAAATATTTAATGTGGATTATAAAGCTGCAAGTCTGGCTCCCACCAACTTCGCCGATGCTGAGTGCTCCTACTCTCCCTCCTTACCATAGGAGCTTTCTTCCCCATCAGTTTCATCATGCCCACCTTCTTTCAGTCACCTACAGACTCCCAGGTGAACCCTTAAAATCCTTTGAGAGTGTAGCCCTGGCTACCCATCCCTGTCCCCAGAACTACTTTTCACATAATTCTTAGTGATTTTAATTTCTGTTCACAGTTCTAATTATCTGCACCTCCTGTCTTCTAGGGATCTTGTCCACTTCACCTTTGCTACCTGTTCCTTTGCATGACCAATACACAAGGTCATGTTGGTAATAGAAAGTCAAACTTCCTACTCAACATTTCCACTTGGATGCATAGCATTTTAGACCTGTATGTCCACAACTGAAGTCCTGAGTTTAAAAATTTTGCTGTAGACTAGCTCCACTCACGGTCTTCTTCCCCACCTCAGTAAATGGCAGCTCTATCCTTTAGGTGGTTGTCAGGCCAAAAACCCTGGTGTCCTTAACTTCCCTTTCTTCTGCAATCATACTTTAGACTTTGCATTACCAATAACTGCACCCCTTCCAGGGCTCTAGTTTGAAGCATTCTGCCGTCTACCTACCACTTCTTCTGCTTTGGCTCACTCCACACAGCACTGTGGCTTCCCAAGGGATCTATAATCCAGTGATCATACTATCTTTTCATCCTATCATCTTTTCTCTGTCCCTCTTTTTCCTTAGCCAGGTCAGATTCTGTGGCCTGTCACTGTAACCAATCTGTTGCATACACCCAACTCCTGAACCTTCTCTCCCTTCTGCCATACTCACTTGATGGAACATCAACTTTAAATTCAGATCTACTTATTCCATGCCTGCTCCTGGACAGCAAACTGTAACTATAGAAACACACACACACACACGCACCTAGACAGACACACATGTAAAATTATCTCACTTTTGGCTTTAAGGTCAACCCTTGTGTCCCGATCCCATTGCAAATCATCCACCCAAGGACTGTTAAAGCAATTCTCCCGTTTTACTCAATTTTACTTGCATTTCTACCTACCTTCCCATTTCTCTTCTTTCCTTTGTGGTAAAACATCTTGAAAGAATTGTTTTCGTGCTATCTCCAGTTCCCTGCTACAGTTTTCCTGTTTGTCTCTTGACCCCACTGTGGTTGAGCTTCCATCCCCACACTCCACAGAATTACTCTTCTCAAGGCCACAGTAACCTCTGCTTGCCAAATTCAGTGATGAGACCCCAGTGCTCTTTTTCTCAACATACTGGCAGCACCTACCTCAGTTGATAACTGTCTCTCCTGGTGTTCATCATTCCTGTTGGGTCTTCCTTTTTCGTTAGTTCCTTTGCTGATTTCATCTCATTTTCCATCCTCTCAATCTTGAAGTGCCCTGAGGTTTAGACTTTGGACTTCTATTCTTTTCTATTTATCTGAATGTCCCAGGTGATGTACCTATTTTCATGGCTTTAAATACTATATTGATGACCTCAATGCCACATTTCTATTTCCGGTGCAGACCTCTTTCTGAACTCCAGCCTCATTAACGTCCTACTCAACATTTGCACTTAGATGCATAGCATCTTAGACCTCTATGTCCACAACTGAAGTCCTGAGTTTTAAAATTCTGCTATAAACTAGCTCCACCCACAGTCTTCTCCACCTCAGTTAATGGCAGCTTCATCCTTTAGGTGGCTGTCAGGCCCAAAACCTTGAAGCCCTTAGTTTCCCTTTCTTTTACAGTCACAGCCAACCCATCAGCAGATATCATCCTCTTCATCTTAGAAATATATTCAGAATCTGACCACTTCTCATCCTCTCTGTGGCAACCCTCATCCTTTTAGTTTCCATTGTCTCACCCCTGCCTGGATTATTTCGGTAGCTTCTTAACAGGTTTCTATTTCTACCCTTTAACCTATTCACCACAAAGCGATCAGAGTAAACTTTTAAATAATAATGCCACTTCCATGCTCACATTTCTCCAGTGGCTTCCACTCTCAGAGAAAAGGCTGGGTCCCATAGATGCTTACAAGGGCTTATCAAATCTGGCTTTCTGATCTTACCTGCCATCACCCTCTCCTATTTCCTCTCCTTCAGCCACTCTGCCTTCCTTGCTGTTGCATCAACAGTCTAAGCACACTCTTGCACTGGGGCTCCTGTACTTGCCATTCTGGATGGAAGGCTTTCTTCAGACGCTCCCGTGGACCTCCCACAGTGCTCCCATGGCTCTCTTCCATGAAGAGGTCTTCCCTGACTATTCCACTTAAAATAACACTCCCAGGCCCCTCTGTTCCTACCTAGCATGCCCTGTCCTTCTTACCTGGCTTGTTTTGTCCACAGTATTTAATCATCACCTGCATATTTGTTCACTCTAATTTCTCCTACTAGAAGGTAGCCCCATGAGGACAAGGACTGTTCAATGTTGCAAATAGCTCTAAAACCGCGTCTAGCATTTTAAGATTTCAGTAAGTATTTGTTGGGTAGTTGAATGAATACATGAATGAATTCAATTTTCTTTGTCTAAGGCATACTTCCCTTACCTTCTTTGTTCTCATTCATCCTCTAAGTCTCAGATTAAATGTCATGTTCTTGGAGAGGGCTTCTTTCTGATGTTCTAATCTAAAGAGATCCTTTTGCTATAATCTTTCAATTTTCTTTTCTTTCATAGTGCTTATCAGAACTCACACTTTCATATTATTTGTGTGATTTTTTAGTGTCTGCCTTTACTGTCTGCCCACTCTAGTCTAATTTCCATAAGCACAAGAAGTATGTGTGTTTTGTTTTCTACTGTAACTCTTAACACTGAGCACAGTATTAGGCACAGAACTGGCACATGCATTTCCTGTCTTGTTGAATGAGTGAATGAATATAAACATTTGAACAACACATGAAAAGCCATGAAGCTCTTGCATCCTACCCCGGTAGCTCATCTCCCTCCCTTTTCAGCTCCACGAGAGCAGTCTGATGAAAAGGAATGCTAGTCCAAGAAAATCTTTGTCTTTCAAGAACTTCCTTTTGGTCTTGTGGGAGGAAGGTGCTTTTTATACTAGCATGGGGCTATTTTTCCTTCCCTCTATTAATGGCGACATTGGTAAATAGGTGCTAAATAGAAATATCTCTGTAAAATAATTCCAGATTGTTCCTGATCCACAAATAATGAGAAACATGGGATGTAACTTGTTACTATGCTTTTTATTTTTTCTTTTAACCAGGTACACATCCAAGCCTAAAGAAAAATTGGTCTACGCCATTTTTCTTAAATGGCCCACATCAGGACAGCTGTTCCTTGGCCAGCCCAAAGCTATTCTAGGGGCAACACAGGTAAGAGGGAATTTTACCTTTTTCCTTTAATTGCTGATTAGAACACCTTGATGCAAACATAACTTTTAACTTTAAGGGGAGCCTTATATCTGTTCCTTTTACACCTCATAAATGTAATTTCAAAATGAGCTCCAGCCAAGTGATGTACTCATGCTGTAATTCCAGCACTTTGGGAGGCTGAGGCAGGAGGATGTCTTGAGGCCAGGAGTCTGAGACTAGCCTGGGCAATATAGCGAGACCCCTCTCTACAAATTTTTTTTTTTAAAGTTAGCTGAGTATGGTAGCACACACCTGTAGTCCTAGCTGCTCAGGAGGCTAAGGCAGGAGGATTGCGTGAGCCTAGTAGGTCAAGACTACAGTGAGCTATGATTGCACCACTTCACTTCAGTCTGTCTCTGGAAAAAATAAAACAAAACAGTAAAATCAAATCAAATGAATTTCACCAATGAGAGTGTTTGGTCAAAACCTTTGAAACTTTTGGTTTCCCAGAAAACTAAGCTAATGAAACAGCTACAGTATCTCTATGTATAACACTGTAAAACAGACATTATTCTTCACAGTCTTTCTATGTTGTTTAAGTTCATTGCATGTATTCAAAATGATTCTTCTCAGAAAACTGAAATTTAGATGCTTTCCCTGACACCCTACTCCAGAACATATCTGAATACAAGATGTCATGACTTCACTATTTTATGTTTATAAAACATTTTGGAGAAAGTTAGAGATTAATTTAACTGTTGTAACCACCAGATCTGGCATTGAGTTCATGCTGATATATTTTATAGCTTATTTTTAAAAATACATTATCCCTTTGGAAGGTAATTGTCCATATGGTTCTCCTTGCATCACCTTCCTGCTTTTTTATTTCTAATATGTGTGGTTGATGAGGCAGAAAGAAGATGAGTTCAAATCTAATGCTTAATTATAGCTTAGTAGCCCAGGTATGACATTGATTATATTTTTATTTTATTTACGTTCTTTTTGATGCCAATCAACATCATTGTTTAAAAGCTCCTGTGTTTTATTTTTGAATTGATCCACCTGAGAAGCAAAATTTTTGGTTCAAAATAACCCTAAAATATGTAGAGAACTTATTTGAATTTGCTTAGTATACTAAGGATATAAAACAATTACAGTAATAATTGATCAAATTTATGTATTAGTGATAGTGGAAGTTATTAGAAAATCTGGGGGAGGAACACTGACTAGATAAGCCTTACTTGGGCAGACTGGTTTCAGAGTCATTTTCTGCTCCTGGTCCTCTCTTCAGCATTTTCTCCACTCCGACACTCCATTCAGCCTTTAAAATGCTCCTCCCTCAAGCCCTTCACACTCTTATTTACCTCTTGAGAGTAAAACAGAAGCAAGAATATAGAGGCAAGATACATATACTCAATTAGATGAAGAGTGATTGTGAATCCCTAAATAAAGGTAAAAATCAATCTCTGGCCTCAGTTATTTTTTTCAGAATTACTAATCACTCCTTCCCAACAGAAAGTGGTTGAGAGAGATAAATTTGGAGACATTTGCATGTATGTTTTTAATTTCAGGTCAAACTACTGGGCCATGGACAGCCGCTTAACTGGATTTCTTTGGAGCAAAATGGCATTATGGTTGAACTGCCACAGCTGACCTTTCCTCAGATGCCTTGTAAATGGGGGTGGGCTCTAGCACTAACTAATGTGATCTAAAGTGCAGCAGAGTGGCTGAAGCTGCAGTTATGTCTAAGACTAGGAACTATCATGTGTCTATAATTGTAGGACATTAATAAAGCAAATGTACAATTGTATAAGAAAAGTAATTATTTTGGCAATTCAGCCTTTTTCTTTTTTCCCTGCTAAATTAATGTAACCATTTTAACTTTCCAGTGCACATGACTGTATAGTTATGAGTCACTTAACGATGGGGATATTTTCAGGGAAACACAATGCTAGTCAATTCTTTGTTGTTGTGCCAACATCATAGAGTATATTTACACAAACCTAGATGGCATAGCCTACTACACACATAATCTATATGCTATATAGACTATTGCTTTAGGCTACAGACATATACAGCATGTTACTGAATACTGTAGGTAATTGTAACACAATGGTATTTGTGTATCTAACATATGGAAACATAGAGAAGGTACAGTGAAAATATTGTGAAAAATGGTGCACCTGTATAGGGCACTTAGCATGAATGGAGCTTACAGAATGGAAGTTGCTCTGGGTGAGTGAGTGAGTGAGTGGTGAGTGAACGTGAAGGCCTAGGACATTATTAAACACTACCATAGACTATAAATACTGTTACACTACATTTATAAAACATGTTTTTCCTCAATAATAAATTTATGTAAGCTTACTGTAACTTTATAAACTTTTAAGTTTTTAAAACCTTTTTGGCTCTTTTGTAATAACACTTGGCTTATAACATAATCTCATTGTGCAAATGTACAAAAATAGTTTCTTTCTTTATATTCTTATTCTATAAGCTTTTTTCTACTTTTAAAATTTTTAATTTTTTACTTTTACAGAAACATACACATTAGCCTAGACCTAAACGGGGTCAGGATTATCAATGTCACTGTCTTCCACCTCGACATCTTGTCCTGCTTAGAAGGTTTTCAGGGGCAAATACCCATGGAGCTGTCATCTATAACAACTCCTTCTAAAATATCTCCTGAGGGACATGCCTTACATTGTTTCACAGTTAACTTTTTTTTTTTTTTAAGTAGGAGTACACTCTAAAATAATGACAAAATGTATAGTATAGCAATACATAAACCAGTAACTTAGCTGTTTATTATCAAGTATTGTGTACCTCACGTCATTTTATGTGCTAGATTTTTATATGACTGGCAGCACAGTAGGTTTGTTTACACCAGCATCACCATAAACAACATGATTAGTGTGTGGCGCTGCCTTATGATGCCTATAACGTCACTAGGTGATAGGAATTTTTAGCTCCATTATAATCGAGTGGCACCACCAATTTATATGCAGTCCATTATTGACTGAAAAGTTGTTATGTGGTACGTGGCTATATTAGGAAATAGGGCCTTAAAAGAGGTAACTAAGGTTAAGTGAGGTCATAAGGTGGGAGGGAACCTAAAGCCAATAGGACTGATGTCCTTATAAGAAGGGGAAGACACACCAGGGATACAAGTGCACAGAGGAAAGGCCATATAAAGACAGCGAGAAGGTGCCATCTGCAAGTCAAGGAGAGAAGCCTGAAGAATCCAAATCTGCTGATACCTTAATCTTGGATTTTCAGCTTCCAGAACTGTGAGAAAATAAATTTCTGTTGTTTAAGCTACTCAGGTTGTGTTTTCCATTCCCATTTGCTGCAATATATGTTTATCAAAGGCTGTTTGAGTTTGTGACTGTAGTGGGTCAAATAGTTTATGTCCCCTGGAATGTCCCCAACAATTTATGTCCACCTGGAACCTCAAAATGTGTTCTCACTTTAAAGTTGTGTCTTTGCAGATGTAATAGGTAAGTATTAGATAAGGTCATATTTGATATGGGTAGGTTGTCAATCCAATGAGAGTATCCTTATAAATGACAGAAAAAGACACAGACAGAAGGCCATGTGATGACTAGGCAGATACTGAAGTTAATGCTGCTGTAAGCCAGGGAATTTATGGGGCCAATACAAACTGGAAGAGGCAAGAAGTACTGGAAGGATCTTCCACAGAACTTTCAGAGGGAGCATGGGCCTGCTGACATCTTGATTTTGGATTTTTAGCCACCAGAAGTGTGACAGAATAAATTTAAGCCACTTACTGAGTGGTAATTTGTTACAGCAGCTCTAGGAAACTATTACAGTTACCAAACAAATTGATTATGCCAGTTGAACTTTTTATGATGACTGTATGAGCCAATGATGCAAGTGTGAAGAGTTGTAGTTTCTGTGAAAGGCAAGTTAAATACTTTGGAAAGACTAAAGTTTGTTGACTTTAAAAATTAAAAAAAAAAAAAAAAAAAGCTATTGGTTAATTGTGGGTGAAACTGTTCTAAAAGATTGGAGGAAAATATAGTAAAAATGTTCAAAAATTCTTCTGGTTCACACTTATATAATGTAATGCATGTAATTTGTACAAGAAAGATAATTAGAGCCGGGTGCAGCAGCTCCAGCTTGTAATCCCAGCTACTGAAGTGGGAGGATCTTGAGGCCAGGAATTCAAGAAAGACAAGTAGAGAATATCTGTCAGCAGACCTATATGGGAAGGCAGCTATGCTATGCCACTATATCACCAACAGCCCAACTGAGTAGACCTACACTAAAAAGTTAGAAAAAACCTGGATCCTATAGTAAATAAGTGACATATAAAGAGTATTTAAAGTTAAAATGTCTATATATGTACTTATGACACCCTGATTTAAACCACTTTTTAGATTAACCAAACAACTAAAGGTTTCTGATGAGAGGGCTCCTGCTATACTATTAGGAGGCAGATTTGTACTATCTAAGACCAATTGATCTTATTTTTTACTTATTTTTTGGGGACAGAATCTTGCTCTGTCACCCAGGCTGGAGTGCAGTGGTATGATCTCAGTTCACTGTAACCTTCACCTCCCGGGTTCAAGCAATTCTGCCTCAGCTTCGTAAGTAGCTTTAAATACATGTGATTTTTACCTTGTCACCTCTTCCACTGCCACAATTATATAGCTGCATATGATTCCAGGTCATAATTTGCAGCTGATCAAATTTGTATCCTTACAAGGCCCAACCTATTTAGTTTCACATTTTCCCTGGATGAAATCCTGGGTTAATTTTGTTGGAAGAGATGTATGCCCATTACACACACATTCCTTACTTTCCCAAAATGCTATTTTTCATTTACCCTATTAAAAATGGGAATATCTCCATATTTTGTCAACTTTTGAAAAGGAGCATTTTCCCTCTTCTTTACTTTTTTTTTTTTTTTTTTTAGACAGGGTCTTACTCTGTCACTCAGGCTAGAGTGCAGTAGTGCAATCATAGCTCACTGCAGCCTTACTGGGCTCAATCTATTCTCCCACCTCATCCCCCCAAGTAGCTGGGACTATAGGCACACACCACCATGCCTGGCTAATTTTTTTGTAGAGACAGGGTTTCACCATGTTGCCCAGGCTAGACCATTACCTATTTCTTTTTTTTTTTTTTGAGGTTTCAATATTTTGCTCAATTTTTTTTTTCAATTACAGCATTTGAAGGGGAGGATCTAATTGCATACAAAATGGAAAACTCTAAAATGTACCCATTAAACTGCTAAAAAATAAATTGCTGAGAATACCACATTAAGTCCAATTTAGATTCTGAGTGTTGTCACCCTGTGATTGCAATCACACAGACTCTTCCAAGCTTATAGCTGGAGCTCCTGGAAGCTATTTTATACTCTGCTGCAAGGACAAAAAAACCACAACTCAGGAAGGAATTAAGTCCTGAATTATTGGCTTCATCACATCCACCCTCTCCACCCTCAAAATAGCACAAAAGAAACAGTGACCACACCCTGTAGATCTTTTGGTATAAAAGAGGTGATGAAAGCCGGGCGCGGTGGCTCAAGCCTGTAATCCCAGCACTTTGGGAGGCCGAGGCGGGTGGATCACGAGGTCAAAAGATCGAGACCATCCCGGTCAACATGGTGAGACCCCGTCTCTACTAAAAATACAAGAAGTTAGCTGGGCATGGTGGCACGTGCCTGTAATCCCAGCTACTCAGGAGGCTGAGACAGGAGAATTGCCTGAATCCAGGAGGCGGAGGTTGCGGTGAGCCGAGATCGCGCCATTGCACTCCAGCCTGGGTAACAAGAGCGAAACTCCGTCTCAAAAAATAAAAAAAAAATAAAAAAATAAAAAAGAGGTGATGAAGAACTGGGGTGGGAACAGGTCATAATGATCTGTCTAAAAAAGGTCCCTTTTTGGGAAATTTGTACATACCACCAAGCAGTAAGCCTCTTCTCAATCAGGGTTAGGAAACTGAGGTTCAATTCTCAGGAAATCCCAATTTCATTCATTTACTCAATATGAATTTACAGGGTGCCTATACATTATCAGCTTCCACTTGCAGCCATTTCTAGATAAAAATGAAACCTGACATCTCTACAGGGGCCACCAAGTTCCCCAAGTCTACCACTGAAAGGATCTTTTTGGAACCGGGTTTCTTCTGTGCCTCTGAAACACCTTAAAGCTGAATCATCTTTAACCTGGAGGTCAAACATGACATTGAGCAATACTTGCATCCCAGATATACAACATTAAAAGATACACTAAATTCTGAAGGTAGCTATGCTGCAAAATGATTTAAATAATTCAAGAGCATTCATTTATGCTTGAAATTCCAGTCCTAGACAAACCTTGTGACCATCAGCACTTGATGTTCTTTCCACCCAGGAGAGCTGACAGTGTCAGCTGATACCTGGCTTTAGGGTTTGAGTGTATCCTAAACCTATCAGGCTGGAGTTGTTTATTTTAGTGGAGAAATGGGCTTCAGGGCCAATATGATACTTGGCTGCTATTCCAAAGCGAGTGTTACTGTTTCCTCCCGTCCCAGCGAGACTGACTGCAGTCTCCAACTTCTTGCTCACCTTCTGGTAACTGGAGCTGCCAAACTCTGTCCCGCCATTCACATTAGTGTGAGGTTGGAATTCATCAGTTTTGTAGCCAACCACAAAGTTACTCTGGGTCACTCAGAACTTTGTGGTCTCAAAATTCACCTGGTAGCCGGCCAGCCAACCTTCATAACCCAGGACTTAGAGCGCCTCAGACTGAAGGCCCAGCCATGTTCAAATCCACATCGTAGCCCAGGTTAATGTGCTCCCACTTGTATCCTGTCTTGATTTTAGCATTTTTTCCCCAAGTGCTAGGGGAGAAGGATGAACAGAAGGTCAGCTTCAGTCCATGTGCAAGCTGATCTTCCATGGTAATCTTGGTGCCTAGTGTGTTGTCAGTGTTCCATTTCTTCGTAAATGTCAGGCCGTATTTGGTACATCTGTACTTGCTCTCCAGACTGCCTGTCACTTTGGTGGTCTCAGTGTTGGCTGAGACTGAGCTTGTAAATTCCAATCCATTCTCAGATTTTGTTTCGAATCAGGTTATATTAAGCCAAATCCATATACCTTGGTGAAGACATGCTTGGCAGATTTGCCAAGATTAGCATATGTAGGTGGCACAGCAATCTTCTCAGAGACAGTGACAGTGGGTTCAGAGGTGTCTATGGTGAGGGCTGCGGCTCCACTACCTATTTTTAAAAACATTCTAGACACACACTCCCTAGCATTCAGCTCCAGGCCTAACCAGGCCTTAGAAGAGACTTCATACTTTATTTTCTACCTTCTGCTGTTCAGCTGCATGTTACACTGGAGGAACATAAAACAATGTCACTGAAAATATATGCCAATATATTTTTGCCTTAATTATCCTTCTAAATGAAGAATTACAGATGTATTACTAGAGACAATGAA